TCATTCCACACAGCAACTAAATCTCAGTCAAACTACCAGATACTCAGAGAACCCCCAAATTCCCTCTAGGACCAGTCAGACTCCATCATTTGCCTAGAGCAGGGGTGTCAAACTCAATTTCATTGAGGGCCGCATCAGGGTTGTGTTTGACCTCAGGGAGCTGGGGTGGGCGTGGCCAGCTCAACGTCACTCATGTTGGGGGGGCAGTAGTGGCCCAAGTGCTCTGCAATGCAGCCTTTGCGAGCTCTTTTTCACTGGCAGAGGCACCGTGGGCTAATCGTTTGCTGTTTTCAAGGCAGCCCCACATGTTATGGCCCGTCAGCAGCCTGTGTAGTTAGTAGCTGATTCCGACAGCGAGGAGGCTGGTGTGGTGCTTGCCAGCAGCCTGTTCAGCTGGTGCTTGAGTCAGACAATGAGGAGGCTGGAGAAGATGTGGTGCCAGAGGCGGGGATTCAGCCAAGCCCTTCAGAACCTCCAGAAGCTCCCATAAGTGAAGAGGAAGAAGAGGAGGAGCCACTTCTCAATGCACGAGCGTGCAAAGCTGTTAAAAGGCAGGAGTGGCTCCTCAGGAGGACGTCTCCTCGAGAGTAAGGCTTGGGGCTAATTGGCCACTTCCCTAGCCTATTTAAGGAAGGACGACGACTGATGAAATTTGCAGGAAACAACTTTGTTCATATTCCTTCGCGTCTTGATTCCAGAAACACTTGATTCGGCTCTTGTTTCTCTCTTGTCAGTTTTCCTGCAAATTGCTTCTGGGCATTCTGCCAATCACAGTAAGATTACGGTTATCTGAAATACTGTACCTCAGAATTGAGTTATTATTCTTTGGATTCTTGTTGGCTGTTAATGAAGTTAAATTAACAGCCCTTGTTCAGAAAAGACTGATTTAAACTGTATTTATGTTCGAACAACTACTAAGAAAGCTCATTAGTAGTCTTTAATTAGTAAACTAAGGTTTGTATGGACTTTGTGTGTGCTGTGTTCTTTGGGGTCCGTAGCTGGGGCAGAACACCACAGGACATATCTAAGCACCCTGTGGGCCGGATCTGGCCCCCGGGCCTTGAGTTTGACACCCCTAGGGTGAACTTTGCTAATAATTCTTGCTGCATTACAATGGGTGGAATGGGAAGCAGTATAGATAAGCCTAAAAACAGAGACTGACTAGACCACTGCAAAGGACCAATGGTGAAGTCCTTTACCAACATATCATATCACAATTGCTTGGAGTCAAAAGCCAGATCTAATGTGTGTCTCCTAGTATGTAATGGGTCCTCAGTCATTTGGGCCAGGTCCATGGTTGTAAAGTGACTAAGCACCGCTGAGCTGCTCCAAGTGCAACATTTCCCAAGGACACGTCAAAGTTGCTAAACTCTGTATGCCTCATGTGTTCCACTGCTCATCTGATAATGAAATTAAGCATGTCAAGCAGGGATGTCACCATGCCACAGGAATTCCTCTTCTAATTTTCAAGATTCTGCATTTACCGCAAACTAGCTTTAAAGTATTAACCCGATTTGATATAGTGATTAAGGCATCAGGTTAGAGATCAGGAAATTGTGAGTTCAAATCCCATTTAGGCATGAAACTTCAGTGATCGTGAATTAGTTACTTTATCCCAGCCTAGGAAGTTGGCAAGGGCAAACCACTTCTGACAAATCTTGTCAAGAAATTGCAGATATTAATCCAGCCAAAAATGAACGTTGACATGAAGGTACCACAAAAAAAAGAAAGAAAGATCAAACATATCTTCCTGAAATTTATGTCATTTTTGTTTCCTTGGTCTTGCCAGCTGTGCAGGACTGGACAGCCTACATATTCTAGAAATAATATGTTAAATATTTAACTAATTCTGTATTAATTTTATATGGATTGTTTTTAATTAAGTTACAAAACCAAAGCCTCAATTACTCTTGATCCAGACTCTTGGCTAGGAGGTTTGAAGCCTCTTCAAGGCACCTGCTTCATCTTTTTGCTATCTTTTGTTCCTTGGAGTGGGTTTTTTTTTTTCTGTTTTTCCTGGAACCATCCAGTCATTGGGAGTCAGGCAGCATACAAATGTAATGAATGAATAAATAAATAAATGTTCTTCATCATTGTGTACATTTTTCTAATTGTTCTATCGTTATATTATAATTACTTGGTTTATTATATATTTTGCCCAAAGTATAATACCAAGGCATAAATAAATACGGAATCATTGATTAATGAAAATGAATGTCAGTCTAGCACTGAAGAAAGCAACAACAATTTGTACTCTGTTTCTGGGTTTTACAGGAAAGGCCATTTTGTGTACTGAAAAAATCACTCTCAATCATTATCAAGAACCTGTTCTAGGGAAAACAACTTGTCCACTCACCCCAAAGGCAACAACACCATCTGTGGATGTGAATATTTTGTTTGGGTTTTACATGGATTGTAAACTGCTGGTGCATCTTTACCTTGGCCACACATAGCAGAAATGTGTGAAGGTAAAACAACACCTTTCATATTAGTTATTGGAACAAAGGAGGAAAGATAATTTCAATTTACCAGGCCAAATGCAGCCCACCTTTAAAGTGCTACAACAATTCTCTATTTTAATTGATACAGGTGTCATGTCAATTTCTCACCAGACTTGGCCAAACTAATTCCTGTAAAATTTGCAATAAGCTGCCTCCAGGAAAAGAAACAAATAAACAGGTAGTCCTCACCTTATGACCAGAAATTTTGTTGGAAGCCCAGGCACTGTTTTTTTAAAAATGTTTTTGTGGTAGCTGTTAAGTAAATCACTCATCATTAAGCAAACCCATTCTTCTGAATGGGCACTTTTTGCAGAAACCAGCAAAAACCACTGGAAACTGACAAAAAAGTTACAAATCATGATCATGTGATCCTAGGACTCTGCAACTGGTCCTAAAGGTAAGCCAACTGCCAAACACTTGAAATATAGTCGTGTGACTGAAGGGCGGGGGACATTTTATGATGGTCGGAAGTGCTTTACAGGCCATCAAACATTCATTCCAAGGCTGTCATAACGCCTAAGACTCATAGAACAACCGCTCATAAATCAAGGAAGGCTGACAGCAGCACCTAACACTGACCATGCATTCAATCTGACTTTGAACAACAAACTTCATAGACCATAAACCATGGTTAGAACACCTGGCCTAATCTGTAGGGTTCCCTCCCCCTTTTCTTCTGCAACTTTTTCTTCTGCAACTTTTTGCTGGATGGAGAATTCAGGAACATCTGAAAGCACGGCTTAGTCTCCTGCAACATTTTGGAGAGTACAGATAGTCCTCAATCTTACAACAGTTCATTTAGTGACCATTCAAAGTTACAACAGCGCTGAAAAAGTGACTTATGACCATTTTTCAGAGTTATGACCTTTACAGCATCCCATTGATCATGTGATCAAGATATACTTGCTTGGCAACTGATTCATATTTATGACCATTGCACTGTCCCAAGGTCATGTGATCACTTTTTGTGACCTTCTGACAAGCCAAAGTCAATGGAATAGCCAGATGCAATTAACAACTAGGTTAGTAACTTATCAACTGCAGTGTTCACTTAATAACTGTGGCAAGAAAGGTCATAAAACGGGGCAAAACTCACTTAACATTAACAAATGTCTCATGTAACAACAGAAATTTTGGGCTCAATTGTGGTCATAAGTCCAGGACTATCTGTACCGCAAGACCTTATGGGATTTGATTCATTTACTTGATATGTGAACTTCAACTCCCAGAATTCCCCAGCCAACATTCTGGGAGTTGAAATGCACATGTTAGAGTAACCAAGCTTGAGAAACACTGATTTACTTGTTAAGTAGAGAGACACCATTGTTATAAACACTACAAGTTCCCATATGGAACTACCCGAGACAATAACTTGAAAGCAGCAAAGAATTTTATTCACATATTTGCAAACACGGGTATGCAAAAAGTGGACACAGAAGGAACCATTAGCACTACTCATGTGACCCCAAGGACACAGATAAACATCCAAGTGCTTCAACGACCCTCTAAAACAGGGGTGTCAAACTGGCAGCCTGCGGGACAGGTGCGTCATGCGCAGGCCACGCCCATCCCAATCCAGCGAATGGGAAAAAGTCGTGAAATGTCACGTGACGGCAACGTGACACGGCCACCCGTGCTGTAAAAAGATGCAAATGGCCAGCTGTCTGCAAGGAATATAAATCCTTCCACTCCCCACTATCCTGTCAGAGCTGAAGGAGCTTCTTGGATGAGAAGCGAAATGTCTTCAAAAGAAAAAACAAAAAAGGCCAGTTGCCTCCTGAAAAAGCACTTGGGGATCCCTCCATAAATGTTAACCATAACCTACTTCTTGCTTAGCATGAGCTCTTGCACATCCATCCTCTCTGCTTGGGGTTTCAGTTGGTATTTAGCTTGCAAGGCTTGTGATTTTAGCTGTGAAGAGCTGCCTTGTTTCAAAACAGCTTATAACACTTAACACACATATCAAATATTTATTTTAGAAACAATACTGACTCCGTTTTGTTTGCATATGACAAATTCCCATTTTCCCCTCTTTATTGATTTCTTAATCTCCTTTTTAAATTTCTAGTTCCCAGGAGTTGTCTCTAGAATAACTATCATAGCAGAGGCCTTCCTACATACAATTCTCAGACTTCAGCCTAGCTCATGAGATTAGAAATTTATATACAACGTATTTTATTTACAGGCTAGCATGTCTTCTTAGGGTTTCTGTAAAAACAATAAAACTCTTCTTTCCCACGCCATTAAAGACGGGAAACCACTGCCAATTTCCTGAAGAATATACAAATACACAAATAACATTTTTCTTCTTCCTTTCCTTTACAAAAAAAAAACCCAATAATTTACAGCCCTAGCTCTGAACATCGCACGTGCGCTGCTTCCTTTTCGGGTTCTGCGGAAAAACGAACACTAGCCAACTCTGGGCAAACTAAGTTTTTAGAAAAACTACATTTCCCAACATGCAAAGCATGTTAAAGGCGCAAGGCTTGTTTTCGTTTTGCTCCGGCGGTCCCCACGTGGATGGAAGATGGCCGCGTTTGCGGACCTGAATATCCTCTACTTGCCGGAGAAAGAAGCCTTGCAGAAGTTGGTGGAGGCTGCAGCGCACCGTGAGTTTAGATCCATGCCTTCTATAAAGGCGAGGGAGGCCGGGGTAAGAGGAGACGGCTCCGCTATTTTCTAGCTTAATAGAAATCCATGAACTAGCCTAAATTGGAGACGGTGGGTTTCCTTTTTGCCATTCAATCCCGCCACCTTCAGATTGTGCGAATGGTGGTGTAGAGTAGGAGGTCAAGAGGGCAGATCTGCTTTCAATCTAAATAGAAATGGCACAAGCATCCCTTTTGGAAGATTGGATCAAGACTAGTAAAGACTCTTGAAATAAAATGTATTGTATGTGAAATGCTTTTGATTATTACCCATTGCTGCCTATCTATCTATCTATCTATCTATCTATCTATCTATCTATCTATCTATCTATCTATCTATTTATTTATTTATTGCGATTTATATGCCGCCTTTCTCCCTAGGGACTCAAGGCGGCTTACAAAATGACAACTTCAATACAAATCACAATACAATACCAAATTAAAATCAGTAATCCAATTAAAAAACGATTTAAAATTATACCAGTGTACCCCCAAATGGATCAGTTTAATTGGCAGAAGAGTTTACTGTTGGCAGAAGAATTTACTGTTACTGTTTTCACAGACTGAAGTGAAATGGTTGCATGGGGGTTAAATTCTCTTCCTTAAAATAATAAGTACACTGGATGTGCTCAAGGGCCATAATGCCGCATTGATTTTTTTTTAAAGTTACTACTACAAAAAGCGAAAATCACAGCTCTAAGATCTCATGTAACTTAGAATAGCCACAGGCATGTCCATTGAATTTGTGAAAATATATAGTAAAAATTTAAGAAAAAGCTAGAGATGAACAAATCCAAATGCTGTAATCTAGTATTCTTTTTAATGTGCATGTGTGTGTATATAATATTTTGAAGATTGTGTTAACTATTTCATCTATTGTATTATTTTCATCCTGCCTTTATTATTTTTTTAATAAATAACTCAAGACACCTCACATACCTAATATTCCTTCCTCCTCTTAGTTTCCCCATAACAACTAACTTGGGAGATAGGTTGGGCTGAGAGACTGACTGATGCGTAAGGCGGAACTCCAAATCTCCTGGGTTTAGCCTGATGCTTAAACCCCTTTAACAACCTCAACAGTTTTAGTTTTAACTTTTTATCATTTGTTGGAATTGATACCTGCATAAAATCAGAACAGAAATACAGTTTTTGGGGTCGCAAAGAGTCAGACATGACTTGACAACTGAACAACAGGAAAACACCAAGTATATTGTTCAAGGCTCTTTTAGTTTAATTACTAACTTGTTTTTGACACTCTGCAAAATGATAGTGAAATTTATCTTAAGCCTCTTGGGTCTTCAGATGGAAATAATTTTGTTTACAGTTGTGTGTAATTCAGTCCAAAGTCTCAATTTCTATTTGATGCCTGAGAATAAGCAAACTTCATATGTATATTCATAAATTGTGTAATTGCAATTCAGAATAAGACAGAGGAAATCATTTGGTATACATGGAAAGCAGCATAAGAGTAGCTTCCAGCTGCATCAACTAAAATGCTTTTTTTTTCTTTTTGAATATCCTGCTTCTCTTGATTAACTCTATTATGTTTTCTTTTTTAAGTTGGCTATTCAACTGTGGCAATCAATTATGTTGTCAACTATGAAGAAAAGAAAAAAGTAAGTCTTCCCTCTGAAACATTTATTCTTTATGACCTTATGTGGTTGATACCTTTGCAGGCTGTAAGCATGACTTCCTTTTACAAGGGTAAAGAGTGCTAGAGCAGAACAAACACAAGAGTAGCATGATTTCTGTGCATTAGATAATCAGTTTGCTTTACTTTATTTTTAAAAAAAAAATGCATCTTCTTTGAATGGCTAGAAAATTGGCCAGGCATACTTGGTGGGTTTTTTTTTCTTTCTGTTTCATATTTCTTAACCACCCATCTCCCTCAGAAGATGGGCTAAGAAGCTGGTTGTTGTTGTTTTTAAACTGGACAAAAGATGGTGTGATATTTGTGTCTTGGCAGTGATAAATCTTTGTATGGCAGCAAAATGAGTGTGGAAACAGTTGGAATTAGTCTCTGAACCAGCCTTGAAAATCTAGGGAATGAAACAGCCACTAATAATAATGACTAAGGTGTTCTGAATATAAACCACCTCCCCCTTTCAAAGAATTTGCACAGCCTTGCTTTTTATACAGCAGTAGTGGGTTCCTCTCGGTTCGGCCCGGTTCAGCCGAACTGGTAGCGGTGACGATATGACATACCGAACCAGTTCTCTTTGTTCGGGAGCTGGGCCCTCCCGCCACTGCCACCCACGTTATTCTTACCTTTTATTTGGCCCCGCCCTCAATCTATTTGCTGCCTCCCGAGTCCCAGTTGATCGGCTAGAAGGAAAAAAACTGTTTAAACTCTTGCCGCGGGGCTTCAAAGGGCCGCCCTACAGCTGATCAATGTTAAAAGGCAGTGTGGTGATAAACCGATGCCTCCAAAAACAAATGAGTAAACCAGTGCCTCCAAAAATAAATGGGTAGACTGGAACGCTCCCAAGAACAAATGGGAAGACTGGTACAGCTCTGCAAGTTAAAAGCCTGGTAGACCAGTACCTCTGCTAAATCCTAAAGAATTGTCACATGACCATCAAACCACGCCCACAAAATAAGCCACGCCCACAGAACCAGTAGTAAAAAAATTTAGAACCCACCCCTGGTATACAGCCTTTACACCAGTGTTTTTCAAACTTGGCAGTTTTAAAATGTGTGGACTTCAACTCCCAGAATTCTGTGTGGGGAATTCTGGGAATTGAAGCTCACACGTTTTAAAGTTGCCAGGTTTGAAAATCAGGCTCTATACAGATACTTCTTGCCAATCAACCATTTGAAGATAACAGTGGACCTCCCCAGAGCTACCTACAATCAGTTTTCTAAATTCCGAGGGCCTGTGGTCACATGGATTGAATTTGGGGCATTAGGTAACTCGCTTGATTTCTAGCCATTTACAGTAAGCACAATTTTTCCTGATAATTTACTTCCTATTTCCAGCCAAAAAAAAACAACAACCCACCACCACCCACTGGAGAAAACAGATCATTTAACAACTGCAGTATTCGCTTAACGACTGTGATATTTGTTTAACGACTACCACAAACAAAAGTCATAAAATCCGCCATGGTCATGTGGTACCTGCCACGATTTACCATTGTAATTCCTGGCTCAATTAGGTTGCAAATTGAGGACAATCTGTACAGAATCTGTTACATGCAGATACACATGCATACACATAACATTGATATGACAGAGATGATGGAAGATGAACTTCAGGACATTCAGAGGGCACTAATTTGAAGAAGAGCCAGCCAGTTAACGGACTGTCTTGAGTATCTGCATCATCCAAATGCTTGAATCATAAGATTCCACAGAATTTCAAACTGGGGTGGCAGCTGAGCTGCATTTTAGGCTTTTAATAATTCACAAATATCTACCTTGGCAAATAGGACAGTAAAACTAAAAACAAAGTCATGGTGAGCATGTTGGATCATTGGCATTTTTTCAGTCTTGCTGGTTGCAGTGAGAAAAAAAACTGTAAGGGAACAGCTGGGTTTTGTGAGATTCCAGATTCATGAATGTTGGTTAGTAGATTGCCCATTGTGGGTTATTAATATTTCATTGGAAAGTCCAATGCATTCATTCCAGGCCTTCATAGATGTGGATAGAATTCAACTGTAAAAGAAAGCATTTTCTCTTGCTTTTCTGTCCTATAACTGAAGCCTAAACAACTATTCAGTGGTTTGCAGAATTGATTAATACCGATTGATGGCTATGAAAAGGAAGTGTAGACTATGGAAATAGCTCTTTGGGCCAGTTGGCTTTTTTGTTGTTTATTTCACAAACCTTTTTTTCAGTAAAGCTTTGCATACAAGTTATCTGTATTTTTTTTCTGTTGGTGGATATATTTGTGATTTTTTAATATATATATATATCTGTTCCTAGGAAATTGTCAAGCCAATGACTCCCGCAGAACTGTTTTCATCCTTGCCTCTTGTACAGGTATGCTTATGCATTTAAAACCATTGTATTCTGAAAAGCAGATATCACTTGGTAGACTTCATTGAGACTGTGACATTATTTTGCTTCCTTGAGAGAAATCCCATTGGAACTTTCATACCCAGGAATTATGGTCTGGTTGCACACAGCAAACAGGTGGAATGAGCTGAATGTGCTTAGAACGTGGAAGATATGCCTTTTAAAAAAAAAGTTCTGAATTATTGTGATTGAAGTGGTATGGAAGCATTCAGAATAAACAAATTCCTTTATTTAAAAATCCTTGAAAATCCAAACTTAACCATCTGAGGAGATCCTAGGTTAGCTGGTAATGTCTTCTATTGTTCCTGATTTATTATTTGTTGTTTGTATGTACACTGAGAGCTTATGCATCGGAGACAAATTCCTTGTGTGTCCAATCACACTTGGCCAATAAACTATTCTATGTATGGAGGTAGTTGTTTTTTAAAAAAGAATATTTTTTTCAGTTCAGCTTATAGTTGAATCCAGTCCAATCCACATCACCATTTCATATAACTTCATTCTGCAACCTGCATAGTACAGCTGCACAAATGACTTGAAAGATGTTTTTTGCCTAGTGTGTGAGCACAAGGGAAGCATCTTTCCTTGAATAATGAAAGGAACCATAATTTCCAAAAGGATGGATGAGCACTGTAATGGTATGTGGGAATGTCCCTGAGAGGCAGGAGGAAGAGCCATTGCACGGACAACTAACAGAAATCTCAGTCCACAGAAGGATGGAGGGTGTGAGAAACGTTTCAGAAGGGACTCTCCAATATTTTAAAGAAAGTAAGAGGAAGGGAAGGGAGACATATTTTCAGTCGTTCAAGATTCTTTTAATGCAGGGGTGGGGAATGATGGCCCTTTTATGACTTGTGGATTTCAACTCCCAGAATTCCTGAGCTAGCCATTCTGGGTCAGGAATTCTGGGAGTTGAAGTCCACAAGTCATAAAAGGGACATCGTTCCCCACCTCTGTGTTAAAGTGTTACAGTAAAGATAGACTGCTTGTACTTCTTGCCTGGATTACCTTGCAGGGCCAACAGCATGCATGATAGGCCGCTTTTCCCCTAGGTGAGCATCCATCCTATTGGTAGAAAGTAGCTAAGTCCCGCCTTCCAGTGGATGTTTCCCTTCTGCAATGCATTTTGTGAATTACTGCTTTCAGAGACATTGCAGTGTTTTTCTCAGATTTGTGTTTAGGGTCAGGATGGGGAACTGTGTAAATGTTTTCCAAATTAAATCATACCTAGGCAAAGCAACTCCAGAGAGGCTTTGAGTCCACTAAATTGCATAATACATTTTAGGCTGTTAGTCCCCAAGATGCCTGATCTGTTTCCCATAAGTACTAGAGACAGTATTTAGGACATTTTAATTTGAATCTAAATTTTATTGATATGAAACAAAATGACCTGTGGCTGTTGTTATTATTCTTGGTTTATTTGATATTCCTCTCTTTTGTCATATTCTAAGGAGGATCCTTGCAAGACTCTGAATTTGTCCCTTTAGATCCTGGGAGGTCTTCAACATTTGTTTGGTTTTGTCTTGTACATTTTACTCTAATGTTATCTGGCTAGAATCCATTAGAACTGAGGCAAAATGTAAATATGGAAACTCTCTCTCAAACCCCAACAAAGCTAGTGAACTCTTCTTAGAAGGATCTATTCAGGCAATTGGAGGACAAACTGAACTTCTGAGAGTGACTGCAAATTTAGGAGAAGGGGAAGCAAACTGAGTCTCTCTCTCATACACACACACACACACACACACACACACACAGAGTCTCTCTCACTCCCACTCTCTCACACACACACACACCTCCCCTCTGCGCTTCCTACTCCTCCTCTGCCCATTTTTTTAATTATCGTATATTTATTTTTATTGTTTCATTGTTTTGCTATTATTTTTGTGTTTTGTTTTATTATTTTCCGTTTTACCGTTGTAAGCTATCCAGAGCAGCCCTATGGCAAGATTGGTGACAAATGGATTTAGTAAATAAATAGGAATGACCACTTAGAACCAGAAGTATCTATGGGTGGGAGCAGGGATGAAATGCTCCCGGTTCGGACCAGATCTCCTGATCTGGTAGCGGTGGTGGGTGGTTTGGAGAACCGGTAGCAAAAATCCCTCCCCCCCCCCCGCCCAGCTGAGCCGCACGATCATTGCGCGGCTCAGCTGGGATCGTCAGAGGCTTCTAAAAGCAGTTTTTTCTGCAATCTCTTCTGCCGAAGAGGTTGTAGGAAAAAAAATGCCTTTAAAAGCCTCTGGCGATCCCAGCTGAGTTACCTGATCGTCAGAGGCTTCTAAAAGCATTTTTTTCTGCAACCTCTTAAGGTTGTAGAAAAAATGCTTTTAAAAGTTTTTTGGCCATGCCCACCCAGTCACATTACTCCCCCACCTACCAAGCCACACCCACAGAACCAGTAGTAACAAATTTTACATTTCACCACTGGATGGGAGTGAAGATAGGAGACAACTGTGTTATTAAACTACACCCCTTTTTATATGTGCTCAAGTGTGACTTATAAAAAGGGGTGCAGCTATGTTGTCAGCATCATCTTGTCCTGCTTGAGCTCTCCAGAAAACACTAATGAGCAGAGCAACTTTAAGGAATCTAGCTTACATACACATACACACTCTTGATATACCATATTTTTTGGACTATAAGACACACTGGAGCATAAGATGCACCAAGATTTCAAAGAGGTAAACAAGAAAAAAAATTTTTTTTTGCCCTTCCCGGCCCCCAGGAGCACTCTGCAGGCCTCCCAAACCCTCTGTGCATCCCATTTTTGGAAAAAAATGGGTCTGTTTTTGGCAAAAACTCGATGTGTGGGGCAGGGTTGCAGGAGGCCAAAAATGGCTGCATTCGCTGTAGAAGACGCACCAACATTTCCACCCTTTTTTAGGAGGGGGAAAAGTGTCTTATATTCCAAAAAGTATGATATTTACTGAATAACAGGAGTGGAAAACAAATTGAAAAGTACAGTAGTAAATGATAATGCGGAAAACGAAACAAAATAAACCCTAAAGTAATTAAAATGTCAGCCACCATCAGCCCTATTAAAAATAACCTACTACAACTGAATAATACTGATTTACTTATTTATCAAGTTTATATAGTGTCCTCATCTCACAAATGAGATGGCTTAGTGCTACTTTCCTAGCAGTGGCATCAAAATGAATTGCGGTTGTAAAGTAAGACAGGAAACTTGTGGACTTTCTTGTCTTACTTTAGATAGAGCAAAGTAACACATAGAACCCTGCTTGCTTTCAAGGTGGGCTGTCTGATTAAGAATCCTAGAAGAGCCAGGAGGTGCCGTAGGTTTTCTGAATTAAGGAAAGGACATGTCTCTGTGGTGATGAAGATTTGTGTAGGCTCCTATTGAGAATAAAGTATCCTCCTTCAATAATGAGTAGGCGTCTTGTTGCCTAGGTTTCTTTTCTCACAGGTTTTTCTTTACAGGGGAAATCCAAGCCAATTAAGATTTTATCAAGACTGACACTAGTGGTTTCTGATCCATCCCACTGCAATGTTCTAGTAAGTTTCTAAAGCTGTTTTGCTTCACAATCCTTTGTTAAGTAAGAGGCGTGGGATATGTCTTGTTGATTGCTAATAAGAGGGAATAGCTGAAGGCTGTTTTCACTTTCTCGTACCAGTGGAACTCTATTCCACTAGAAATAGGAAAAGGTAAAGTTTAATTATTATTGTTGCTGTTGTTATTATTATTATGGTTAATCTTCAATTCGATTCACCATCTCGGACTGTTAAAAACAGTTCAAGTTCTAATCAAGGACCTAAGTAGCATCTGAGTATATAGGCAGTTCCGAGTAGGGTGGGTTTTTTTTGCAAAGTCAGGATATTCAGGTCTAATAAGTTCAAAATTTCCATGTATCTAAGGCAGTCCTTTTGGTATTGCTCCAAAGGCTGATGATGATGATAATGATGATGATGGGACTAATTATAGTTCTAGTCCTGCCTCAGATATGTTGGGTGACTTTGGCTCTGTCATTCTCTCTCAGCCCAACCTACCTCACAGGAGAAAAGAGGACAAGGAAGGAGTATTAGGTATGATTGCTGCCTTGAGTTATTTATAAGAATAATAAAAAGTGGGATAAAGGTAAATAGATAAAATAATGTAAAGAACCTCTGATAGAGCTCTTTGGATTTTATTTCCATTTTAAATTTATTAATTTTATTTCTCAAAGCATTTAGAATAATTAACTATACTGTGTGAATCCTAAACATTTCTTTATTATACAATATTTTCTATGTGCTCACCTATAATCTGTTAACTTGTCACAAGTAAGACATTTTATTTTAATATATCAGGTATGTTAGTAAGATAGGAAATAATACTTTTGCAAGTATTCATATAAAAATTATACCAAGTCATTTTGTGGTGAATTTTTTATTCATTTAGCAATTCCATATGTGCAGCTTCTAAAATGAACATAACATCTTCCTCATATAGATTAATTTTTGAGCAACTTGGTGATGAAGAAGCATTGTTTTATGAATAATCTGTAATATTTACCATCATCAATTTATCTCTGATCCATACAGTGAGTTTTAAAAAACGTAGTCCCTAATCTGGGGCTGCTTCATGTTGCTTCAGTAATTTTTTATCACATTTTTTATCACATCTTTATTATTTTTTTATAAATAACTCAAGATAGTGACCTATTAGAGATGTTCTGGGTTTATTTTGAGTAATTGAAATCCTAAGAGTTTGACAAAGAGTCTTTGTTCCATTTGATTGATTTCACAGTGCTAGCAACAGCTTTGATATTGAATGGAACAGCTTATAAATGCAGTCTGTTGTTTGGCCACTGAATTACTCAATATTTGTGTGTGCTACATAAACCACAAGCGTTCTTTCATTTAATCTGATAACAGGTTATCTTTTGTTTCGTTTTTTTGGTTTTTCTATACCCAGAGAGCGACGTCTACAAATATCAAATATTATGACATCTTTGCTGTATTTCCTAAGAATGCGAAACTCTTTCACGTAAGTGGGCCTTTCCCTGGCATGGGAACTGAAATGTAAATGGGAGGGCAAAGGGAGAAAGATAGGGTGAAAGTTTGCTTGCTAATACCAAGTACAAGTAAGCCTTAGGTTATGATCCTAATTGTGGCTGGAATTTTCACTACTAAGCAGGGTGGATAAAAATCAATGATTTTTTTAAAAAAATAAAAAAAAACAGATTTTTTTTTATTTAAATCGGATTTTTTTTTATTTAAATTGGATTTTTTTGATTTTTATCGAATTTATTTTAATAAAAAACTTTTGGGGTAAAAATCTATCGTAAGATAGTTTTCTATTTAAGATACATAAATAATTTAGTTTATTCAGCATGAAATGGAGCTTAGTTATGTAGCATGAGGCTGTATATTCTGCAACACTGGGACTATCGGTGAGTCAACAGTGGGTCAGAGGAGTAGCAGAGATGACAGTTGCTCTTTAGAAATTATGATTTAAATCGAGTTGATTTAAATCAAGCCTTTTTACTAGTGATTTAAATCATGATTTAAATTGTGATTTAAATCAAATCCACCCTGCTACTAAGCAAAATGGTCTTTAAGCAAAACCTCACATGGCTGCTTCTGCAGAATTGGAGGGGTTGAGGTGATTAGCACTGACAGGGCCTCTCCAGCCCAGCTCCTCCTATAGGGCCTAGTAGCTTCCACCATGAGTTGCAGAGCTTATGTTGGGCTTCCAGGAAGCGTTCATCCCTCTACTTCCTCCAGCTCTGATGCCACCCCAAATAGCACCTGTCCTACCCTCGCCACTTTTACCCAGAGAGATGCACTCTCTCCATCCCATTGCACTCTCTATGCTCTGCAAGATAGAGTCTTGTGCTGGTATCAGGAAATGGGGCTCCTCTGCTTATACCACCAGCCTGCCTTTGCCAACTCCATCCTTCTACCTCTTCTCTGGCCAGCCCCCGATGAGCTCCCTTGGTCAGAAGAGGCTTTGCTACCTTGCTACACATTCTGGGGCTGCACCTTCACCCAGTGCTGGATCCCTGGCCAGCAGTGGGAGGAAGACGGCAAAGGTCAATTGAGAGTGGTGGACTGCAGGGTGTCCAAAGGGTAGAGATGGGGAGAAAGTAGATGGTAGTTTGCCCAAAGTAAAAGAACGTGACTGGGATGCTGTAACCAGTCAGAAATGCAAGCTGATCATCAAGCACCCAAAGTTTGATCACATGACTGCGGGGACACTGCAGTGGCCAGAATGTCAAGAACCAGTCATAACTTCCCATTTGTTCACCTCTATACAAATGGTCATCACCTGAGGATTACCTGTATCTATAGATATTTCTTCAAGAGGAATACTAGCATCCATTGAAACCTTGTTTGCAAGTCAACCTATATCATTGGCAACCTTCAAAGACTACGGTATCATGCTCGGGAAAGAGGTCCTAAAACGGCATCTGGTGTGACTAAAACTAAAGTCACCTATAGCAGAGCTGTCAAACTCGCGACCGGCAAGGCAGATACATCACACGCTGGCCACGCCCACTCCTGATTTAGCAAAGGGGGGGGAAAGTGGTGATACCTCAAGTGACACCGCGAGTTTGACACCCCTGACCTATAGGATTCCAAGCTTTTGTCCTGAAGTGGAATGAAGTTCTCTAGAAGGCTGCAAAATTATTCCTTGGCTTACTAGGTAGGATAGGCAAGTCTTTCTGCACTAATGGCTGTATGTAGCAAATGGTACAAAATTTACATATTTTTTTTGGTTGCACTTCCATTGAAAATTACTAAGCAATTTGCATGGCAATTAAATATGGTTAATACAATTGCGCTCCATGTTAATTATCTCTAGATCCCAGGGCATTGGAGGGGAAGGTATCGGTGGTGGTGCATACAAATTTTGCAAGATGGCAGACACAGAGCTGCAACCATAAGCTCACCTCTTTTCCATTTGCTTGAAGCTTTTAAAAAAAAACTTCCCCAGAGTTCCTAATTATACAAATCCTATCATGTCTAGCTGTGGTTGTTAAGTCTTTAACACATACACACACACACACACACACACACACACACACACACACACAGAGAGAGAGAGAGAGAGAGAGAGAGAGAGAGAGAGAGAGAGTAACTGCCTTCTGGGAGAATTATCATGATGTATTTTTTATGTACACAGAGCTTATGCGCCGAAGACAAATTCCTTGTGTATCCAATCACACTTGGCCAATAAAGAATTCTATTCTATTCTATTCTTTATTTTTTCTATTCTATTCCTATTCTATTCTGCCAGAAAGTTGGGTCTTTTGCATAGCATCCATCCTACAGCTAACAATCCACTCTTCAGCAGATGGCACTCTTGCTTTGATTATGGAGACTGAAAATTGTCATCTACGTCTCCTAATAGTAATAAAGAATCCTTCTCTTTCTTTATGCTAAATCCATTGTTTATATTTCTGCAGAATATGGAAATCAGGGCCTTTATCCTGGAAAAAAAATCAAGACCTTTGTCCCCCAAAAGGTTTCACAGCATATATGATCTTGGTGAACATTGGGTTACAGTTTTGTTTTTGGTGGGAGCTTTTTACTATTTCTAAAAATCCTTTCAGAAGACTGGCTCTGTTGTTCTGTGCTGATTTTTTTAAAAAAATTCTCTTTGAAGAATGTTGCTGATAAATTGTCAGAGAATGGCAAAATGTACGTGGCAATCTACTTTATAAAGCTCTAAGTGACTCACGGGGAAACCAAGAAAGATTTTTTTTTCAGTCGTAGCTAACAATAGCAACAACTAAAAATATATTTTCCCTAGATTAAATTGCTGATTAGGAAAAGATTTTTTGTACCAAGTGATTTGTGAACTAGGGTCCTGCTACTGATCACAAATTTCTGGGCTAATCCTGTGTGCAACCTTCTACTATTTTTTAGTGAATTTAACTCTGCTTTCACAGGAATATATAGGAGGAAGTATTACAAAAGTCAAGAGAACAGCTGCGGTGGTAGTATTCAGCTGTTTCAGACCAGTTCGGGTGAAGTGGTAGTGGCGTCCTATTTAGCCACTTTTTCTAAGCTACGCACATGCGTGCAAGCCACACAAAGTGCATGCACGTAAGGCCGCACGCATGTGCGGAAGGCGTGCAAGCAAAGCGAGCGTATTCACGTGCACTCTCACATTTCCGGTGCGCGGCAAACCGGTGCAAAAATTTTGTGAAACCCACCTCTGAACAGTTGCAACAGGTTGGGTGTGGCTGGCAAGCTGATGGAAGCTGGATGGTTTATAGCCTCTTTTGCAGTAGAAGATTTGAGACTCCTACTTTGTGTAATATAACTTGGTCTTTCGATATTATCCTGCTAAATATTGTGCTGATCCTGTTGGAAACACAATTATCATTTCTGCGTGGAACAGTTTCTTTTGAAGTGTATTGTCTGACCATATGCTTTCATAATGATAATTTAGGTGGCATGCACAACCTTAGATGTAGACTTGGTGTGTGTTGATGTGACAGAAAAGCTGCCCTTCTTCATCAAGAGACCGTCTGTCAATGTGGTAAGGGGGTCCTTTAATAAGCGTCTTGACATTTCTCTTTGCGGGTTATGAGGTGAATAGAAGCTGACACCTTACTGGCTGCTTTCACATGTAACAATAAACCTTGTTGTGATTTAGTCAGAGTTACACATGTTAAATTCAACACCACACTTTGGAATAAATTGCATGGTGTTTTCAATAGCTAACTTCATTTAGTAGCCAGGACTTGTTGTAGCTTACAAATTCTGGCTTGTTTTGTTTGTGACTTGTTATCCAAGTTACTGGAGCCGGTCTGGTGTCATGTTTGAGGCAATCACTTCATCCCAGGGGCTGTCTCTTTTTTTTCCCTATCCGTCCCCATTTAATTCAACTGATGATTATTTTTCTCTTTCTTGTAAAGGCAATAGAGCGAGGTGTCTACTTCGAACTTATTTATGTTCCTGCCATCAAAGACACCACAATGCGACGGTACACAATCTCGAACACCTTCAGCCTGATGCAGATCTGCCGTGGAAAGGTGAGATCAAAAAACAAGGAATGTTCGCCCCATGCCTTCTATCACTAGAGTTCCCAATTATCTGGTTTGAATTAATGTAACATAGCTTGCTTACCCCTATATTTTGGAATGCTGAGTGGTGCGGAGGTGGGGGATTTGAAAAAGTCAAAATGGCGGCCATGTAGCCAAAGGCTCAGCCATTCTAATGTATTGACACATGCTCGAAGGAGTGGGGACTTTTATCATTGAGTTGCAACCGCCATTGTGGGGTTTTTTGACACCCTACTCCTCCCTAGTGCCCCTGCTACAACAATGATAATAACTGGATTCATAAGCAATCATCAGTTCAATAAACCCAACTAATCTGTGTTAAGCGAAGAGGAGAACAAGTTCTACTCCCCACTATCCTTTCAGAGCTGAAGAAGCTTCTTGGATGAGAAGCGCAACGTCTTCAAAAGAAAAAACAAAGTCCAGTTGCCTCCTGAAAAAGCACCAAGTTGTTCGTCATGGCATTGAAAAGATAGCAAAATCCTGAAGGAAATCAAATGTCTATGGAGACACACAAATTGTCCAGATCATGGATGTCCAAAGACGTTTTTCAAAAGGCAACTGGGTTTTTTTTTTTCCTTGAAAATATTTTGCTTCTTCTCCCAAAAGTGAAACATTTTCAAGGAAGAAAGCCCAGTTGCCTTTTGAAAAGCATCTTTGGGAAAGAAAGTAAAGAAAATATCTAAGCAGTGAGCTGCGTACAGGGCCTTTTGGTGAAACACAAGGTGCTGAAGCAACCTTGACCTCTTGTTACCCAAAAAGGGGAGGGTTGTGATTGGTGCCCATGCTTGTATAAATATTGGCATGCCCCCCCGGTCTCCCTGGGAATGCTGCTAGAAATTTCTGAAAAAGGAATAAAGAATTAGTTTGTCTTCCAAGAAAATCACCCTGATTTCCTCCACTGGTGCTAAAATGAATTGCCAGAACTTTACTTAATTATTATGTTTACATATACACAATTAACAAGACAATCTTTAATCTTAAAGAAAATCTTAAAAAATACAAATACAAACTGAGAAAGGAAGAAAAAAACCTTACATTTTAAGGTGGGGGAGGGGAAACTTCTGAAATGCTTGAGGAGTAATCTCATTAATGGTATTGTTTTAATTTAACATTGAGTTTTATTTAATATAATGGGATGGCTTACCAAATTTAGGTTTTGTACTTTCCTTTAATGAAATGGACACAACATTAAAACAAAAAAAGGAAGGAAGGAAAAAAGAAAGAAAGAAAAAAGCAAATTAAGAGGAGAGTAGGAGTATAAATAACAAAAATAAGAGGGACAAAGTACAATTTGGCGGTACTTACACATGGAAACACTTGTGTGTTTTAAGTGTTATATGAATGTAAACATACAATGACGTTTTAAAATGGATTTTTTTTCCACCAGATGTATCCACTTTGATTTGGCCTTGGAAGCTACCCCTGCCACTCCACTCAAAAGCTAGATGTACTTATTTTCTCCTACCCAACATACATACACACATTAATCCTTTCTAAAGACTGATAGTTTGAGTCAGCTTTCATCCTTTTACCTTGTGCTCGGTCTTCTAGATTTAAGCTTAATGGCAAGGAATGTCCCTCCCTCCCTCCCTTCCCATTAAAGTAAGCAATAAATACATGAAGAAAAGGAAGCTTCTAGACAGTGAGAGAAGAAAAGGATTTTTTTTTCTTTTTATTCTCCAGTTAATTTCACACAGATAAGGCAGTGTTTTAGTTTTTGTCCTCTAAAAAAGAACGTCCTGACATTTGGTCAGATGGGAACATTCTCTGAGAATGTGGTGCTCTGGCACTTTGGTCCAATTATGTGAATTCAATGCCTAAAATAAATAACACTTGCATTGTTCTTCTTTCCTAGAATATCGTTCTGTCCAGTGGAGCTGAAAAGGTAAGGATGGGCTTAGATGTCACTCTGATTCTTTAAGGATCAGCAATTGTTTGAATGGATGCCTCCTCTATTTAAAGCAGCCAATATTTGATTCAGCCGACCCGTATTTGATTTTCTGTGGCTCATTCAGATACCGAAAATTCTCTGCTTCCTTCCATCACAAAGTCAAGGGACCGTCTTGTACCTCCTAGTGGATAATTACACTTTTCATTCAGTGGCTTGTCAAAAACTCCACTGGAACTTGGAAAGTTTGTCCGTAAATACTGACTCATTGTAAATATGAAAGAAATCAGGGGAAAATATGGTACCTACTTGCCGAACATCATATGTATTTAATATTAAATCTCTGTAGCCTAATCAAATGAGTCTGTCAGGTTTTCTAATCTCTCTTTTCCCATCATCACACTCCAGCCCAGGCGGGTGTGTCAAAAAATCCAAGATGGTTGTCATGGCAGTGCATTCAAAGGCCTGCCCCTTTTGGACATGTTAGATTGCTTTGACGTGACCACCTTTTTGACTTCGTGACACCCACAGATATGCCACCCACAAATGTCACTGCATCCATTTGGCTTGATGGGAGGAGTATGGATGTGAACAAAGGGAAGATAGGCATGTCTGTCTACCTTCTCCAGTGGCTAATGCTGCATCCAGCCTTTGACACCTAAAATTTCATTATTAGTGAAGACAGGCAAAATACTTGCTTTTAAAGAGAATCCTAAGGGATTCATGAGATGTCCAAGAAAAATAGGGATCGGGTGCCTGTACTTGAGTGGAAAAAAGAGGATAGGATAGGATAGGATAGGATAGGATAGGATAGGATAGGATAGGATATAAAAGAATGGAATGGAATGGAATAATAACTTTATTTTCACTTTGAATGTGCACTAATTGGCATACATTAAAATGAAATTTTGTTTCATACAGTCTCAAAAGGTCACCACCTCCAATGTACACTACACAAACATGACTAAATAAATAAATAAATACAAAATTATGTATATATCCACATATTATATGACACAGAGAAACAACACAGTCTAGTTCAGATGGATACATGTTTATGGCGAGAAGAATGAATCTTGTGAGTTTACCAGATGGATGGCATAGGGAAAATGCTGTTACAGAATTGGGTAGTCCTGCTAGAAATACTTCAAAACCTCCTCCCAGAGAGGAGCAAGAGAAACAGACTGTAAAGTGGAGTCTCTAACAATGCTTTGAGCTCTAAGCACATAGCAGTATCCTGAATAACAGAAAGCAAACTTCCTATAATCTCGGCTGTCCTTACCACTCTCTGTATGGACTTTCTGTCTGAGGCACTGCTGCCACCAAACCAAACAGTGATGCAGTTTGTTAAAATGCTCTCAATTGTGCCTCTGTAGAAAGTGGCCAGGACAGAAGGAGAAAGATGTGCTCTCCTCATCCAACGCAGTAAATGCAGATGCTGGTTTGCACGCTTCACTAAGTGTGGAGAGACCAGTTCAGATTGTTAGTTCAGATTCTATTAAATACTTCAGCAAAAATTGAATATTTCTTTGTCTGGGAGAAAGCAGAGTGTTGTTTTTTTTTTTTTGAAAAAAGTTTTTTTTTAATTTTTTAAAACACAAACATAAAACACATCTTTTCCAAAACGAAGCATTGATCCGGTCACAAATTAGTACAAATCACTAACAATTCTTAACTTCCAATTAACACAATTTAATATTTTACACAGTTATTTCTCTAAATTCTATCAATTATGCCATTATCCCAAAAACCCGTTATTTAAATTTTAGATCCTAAATAAATGTCATTCCATTTTTCTCTTCCTTTTTACTTAGATGGATATCTTTTAACAATATAAATCGTTACCATTATTATAAACATTTAAAAAATATTTTAACTATTACTCCCATTTTAATCTTCTTCATTACTTTACAACATAATCATTTTTATTTCTTAGCTGTTAACTCCAACATAATCATTTTATTTTCCTGTTGAACTCATCATTATCATCTTTATTTCTGTTGTTAAATTAAACTTATACATTCCATTTTTGCTGTTATTCTCAACATATTCCTATTTTTGCTGTCCTACCCAGCATAATAATTTTTATTTTTGGCTCTTAATCCCAGCAAAATCATTTTATTTTTACTTTTAAACCTAACATCTTTATCTTTGTTGTTAAACCCAACATAATCATTCCATTTTTGCTGTTGAAAGCTGAGTGTTGTTACATAAAATCTTGACCATTTAAGTGGTAATTACATGACCCAGCTTGTCTCCCATCAAAATTAATGAACCGTTTGATGGTTGTAGGAAGAAAGCTTCTCTTGTATGGTCCAATTTATTGACACTTGGAGTGCAGTGCTTTTAATTTTCAAGTATGCAATTACAATTTATGATCTGCATCTGTATTCATCTCTTTCTCTCCCACGCACCCCTTCCGTTGTAGCCTATCCAATTGCGAAGTCCATATGATGTGGCTAATTTGTATCCTTTTCAAATGAATCGATAAAAGCCCTGAACTGTGAAAGATGCTATAATACGTATCTGAAAAAAGGGACAATCGGGCATAGAATAGCATCTCTTCCTTGAGTGATGTAAAAGTTTTGGAAAGGAAATGGCATACAAAACACGGCCAGCAGGATACTAGACCATGGTATTGCTAATACGTCAGCAAAAACAGAATCTGCCTTGGTTTGAATAATAGAATCTGCAGAGGTTTGGCCTTAAGTGCGTAAATACTGACTCAGTTTAGAATGAAAAAGAATCGGGGAGATAAAACCTGGATTTTCTGCCAGATATCAGATACATTTAATACCAAATGCCTATGGCCAGAAAAGGATGTAATGAGATGAATCATTCCGTTGGCCAAGATTTCTGAACTCTTTTTTCTCCCACCCTCTTATTCCAGCACAGATAGATAGGCAGGTAAGAAGAGGGTGTGTGTGTGTTGAAAGTTGAGTTCTTTCTTTCTTTTCCCCTGAATTGCATTCACTCTTGTCCATTGATGAAAAGCATGCTTATCTTTTGAGATATGAAGAATCCTTAATGAAAGTTGCAGAGGTTGGTTGTTCGGCCTTTCAGAAAGCAATGGCAAGGCAGCTGTTTCAACCAACAGCCGAGCTGTCCTTCTGCATGGAGGTGAGTCCAAAGAGTGATGAACAGATACGCCTTGACTTATGACCACAATTAAGCCCAAAATATCAGTTGCTAAGTGAGTTTTCGCCCCATTTTATGAACTTTCTGGCCACAAGTGAATCACTGCAGTTGTTAAGTTAGTAACACTTTTGTTAAGTGAATCTGGCTTCCCCATTGACTTGGCTTGTTGTAAGATCGTAAAAGGTGAACACATGATCCTGGGACACTGTAACCATCATAAATATCAGTTGCGAAGCGTCTGAATTTTGATCACATGACCATGTGGTGCTCAAGTGTGAGAAACAGTCATAAGTCCCTTTTTTCAGTGCCATTGTCACTTCAGATGGTCACTAAATGAACTGTTGTAAATCAAGGACTACCTGTATTCTAAGATTAGAGCATTACCAATATTGACAGATGTATAATACAAAGATGGGATGATGAGCATTTCCCTTATTTGTTCTACCTGTCACCCCCAGCAGCTGTAATTACTGGAGGTAAAAAACATAGTTTTATTTTTGAAGATAAGTTTTATACTGTTGGTTTTCAATTGTTATTTTATTGCACTATGATTTGTTTGTTTTATATGGTCTTTGATTGCAAGAAACTTGTATTTATCCTCTTGGAGGATTCTAGGTTGAAAAAGGTTGTCTTTTCCTATTGTTCTGAACAGGCACTTGATTTGTAAGCATCTTCTTGGATTAACTATAGTCCTTCACCGTATAAATTGTAGATAACCAAGAAGATAATGGAGTGATTTGTACCAAGCTAGCTTCTGGGGCAACTTCACAGTTAGGATGAGATAATCTACCCTAACCCACAGTTTCTATTTTAGGGCGGTTTATATAGGAAAGAGAACTGGATTCATTATGGCTTAATACCACATTGCATGTGATGCTGAATTTTCTTTTCATCTACATAAGACTGCTATTTGGCCCCATAATATTGCAATGGGTAATTCAATCCCACGTTGCATTGGCTAGATCAGGGGTGGCAAACTGGCGACCTGCGAGCTGGATGCGTCCATGTGTAGGCCACGCCCACCCCCCAGCTCCGCGAAGGGGAAAAAACGTCACCATACGTCATATGACGGCAACATGACACGGCGAGTTTGACACCCGTGGGCTAGATTGTCTGCAGTAGAACAGGTTCTTACATCACACATCTCGTCATACTTTTCCATTGGTGTGGTTTGTAAAACATTCTTCTTTAATTTCAGAAGCCAGGAAAACCGCCTGTGGAGTGGTGTATACAGTGAAGAAACCTCAACCTCCAGATGATGATGATGATGATGATGATGATGATGATGATGATGCTCCACTCAGTAAAAAAGCTAAAACAGATTTGTGAATTACAAGTTTACCTCTCTGACACCCATCATCAGCCCAAACCTCCAAAGCTGTCTTACCTTACCAGATGAAAAGGAGGAATCTTATCCCTAAGTTGACATGAGTATCTACTTAGGTGAATTCTCTATATAGACTTTAGGAGAAATAGATGATGCTCCTTGAATATTGACTGGCGAAAAATGGCAATACAACATTTGAAAGAATTTGTATATAGCTGTGCCACCTTTTATAATAAATATATCTTATCAAATGCAACTTTCACTATCCGTTTGCCCATGATCAAAACAAGAATTGACATTCTACATATGCAACCTAGATTTTTTTTGTAAAAATAAAATAAAAATTGTGTTGGCTTTTATTAATCCGACTTACATTTGCATGCTGAAAATCATTACAGTACTGTAATTTCATCACAGGATTATCATGTTACAAGAATTCCACATTTGAGTTCCTGATTACAAAGTTCTTAACGCAGCACACTGTTGGTAATCATTTGAAGAAATTGCAGCTTGAGCTATGAGCAAAGTTTCTGTCACATTACTCACAGCTATAATAGTGGAGCATCCAGATTATTTGTGTGATTCAACTAGAAGAACTGTCCTATCCTGGGTTGAGAAGTAACCATGCCCTGCCACTTGAAGTATGAGACAAGATCAAGTTAGGTCAGAGACAATGTGTATTTGTCTGAAACAAGGCAATAAACACGTACATATTTGTAAGACTTGTTTGCCCATTTCCATCTCATTTTAGGAATGTTACATATAAGTCTTCCTTTCTATTTCCAATTCCCATTTTAATGGCTTTATCACTTCCCAGCAAGATGACAATAAAGGAAGTGTGCTAGAAGTGCAGCCCTCCTGAGCTCCGTTTTCACTGGCAGAGGGTTGCAGGAGGCCGTAGCAGCCGAAAATGGAGCTCGAGAGCCTGTTTTCGCTGGCAGAGCACTCAAGCCACCACAGGCGCCCCCAACAGAAGTGATGTCGAGCTGGCCACACCCACCCTGACCACCCCCCCCCCCCCGAGGTCAAACACAACCCTGATGCGGCCCTCAATGAAATCGAGTTTGGTACCCCTGCACTAAATGAAGAATCTTAAGTAGATATCCCAGTAACAGTTCTGTGTTCAAGGATCCTGACAGTAGATCTCAGATGTGAGTTAAAAGAGGTTTCTGTTCAAAGAATGTTGGGTAGAAGGAAGATACTCAGATATCCAGCATATCAGGAAACCAAAGCTGGGATACAGGATTCAGCACCCCAATACCTCCAGCCTCTCTCCTCTAAATTGCTCCTTCAACTTTCTGCCTCTCTGCCTGATCAGAACATCACACACAATCTATAGCACAAAAGTTGTGCTGTTGGCATATGTAATTGCATCTTGACAACAAGCTCGTGGAAAGCGTGGAGCAGTTGTTCAGGATCCAGGTTTGCCAATGTTGAGGCCAATTGGGAGGTCTAACCCTGAAACCAGCAATCTCGGTAGTAATTGTGATGTTGGCCAAGTGGCTTGCAATTTTATTTCATCTTTTCCTACTTCCGAAACATTTCAGGTAAATGTTGAAGTTGTTCCATAAAATTTGAATTGGAGCTTTATTGTTTCTATGTCTGTGCAATGACGCGTTTGTGCTATTTTCTTTTGGGATAAGCTATGTCACATAAAATGCTGAAGAATTAAAAATCCCCAAAAGAAACAACAGGAGGTAAAAGAAAAGGAAGTTTAACTCTAGTTTATACCAACACCATTCACTATATCCTTCTGCGTTTCTGTCCATTGCAAACCATCTTTCCCTCCACCATCACACATTGCTTTTACTTTCCTTTTGAGGATCTCATCCAAGTTCATTTAGCTGCAACTTTTAGCAGTAGCACTTTCTGTATATGCCGCTTTACAGCGCTTTTCAGCTCTCCAAGCAGTTTACAGAGTCAGCATATTGCCCGCTGCAATCTGGGTCCTCATTTTACCGACCTCAGAAGGATGGAAAGCTGAGTCAACCTTGAGCCAGTCAGGATCGAACTGCTTGCAGTCGGCAGAATTAGCCTTCAATAGGGCATTATAACTACTGTGCCACCATGGCTCCTTTTATTGGTCGTCTTCATCTCAACCGACACATTCATTCAAATGCAATTCATTCATTCCTTCTATATGGCCAAACCATCTCAACATGCTGCTTTCACCGGTTACTGGTCACTCACCTTGTCTTCAGTCTGTTTTCATCCATCACCCATTCAAAACCGCTGTGGGTTTTTACCACTCATTATGAGATGCACACAACAGTAGTTAGTAGCCTTCCATGGTGGCTAGCCATGGTTTGTTTAAACTTTAATTATGGATGCAGCACCATTGGCTTTGTTCATGTAACTTTCTTAAGCCAGTAATGATGGTATAGTACCGCGATGGCGAACCTATGGCACGCATGCCACAGGTGGCACGCAAAGTCATATCTGTGGGCACGCGAGCGTTGCCCTAGCTCAGCTCCAGCACGCATGCGCACGCCGGCCAACTAATTTTCAGGCCTTCCGGGCCCACTGGAAGTCAGAAAATGGGCTGTTTCTGGCCTCTAGAGGGCCTCCGGGGAGGTGGGAAAGGCCGTTTTTGCCCTCCCCAGGCTCTTAGAAAGGCTCTGGAGCCTGGGAAGGCAAAAAAACGGGCCTTCCAGTTCCACCGGAAGTTACGAAATGGGCAGTTTCTGGCCTCTGGAGGGCTTCCAGGGGGGTGGGGAAAGCTGTTTTCGCCCTCCCTAGGCCCACCGTCCCATCGTGTTCCAAAAGTGGGGGGAGCACGGGGGAGGGGTCACACGCACATGAGTGGGGGGCAGGGCGCATTGAATTATGGATGTGGGCACGCGCCTGCATGACCCCCTCCCGCATTCCCCCGCTTTTGGCACACGATGGCAAAAAGGTTAGCCATCACTGGTATAGTACCACAATTTACCTCAAATATTAAGCCCGAGCTAAACAAATGGCATCATACTTTGGTGCAAAGTATTGATCCAGTCAGTGTCAACAATTTGAGTATTGGCCACCTGATTTGAGAAGGTAAAGATTTTTCAAAGTTTATTTATAACCTCTAACGCTTATCTGAGAATTGGCAGGCATTTTTTTGTTAGCTGATGGAACATGACAATCTTCAGACAAATAAGTAAAAGTATTCAGGCAGAACAAGCCATTCTCTTATTTAAATCTTAAAGGGAATTTAATACAAAATGTACATAAAAAGCCATACAAATATACAGAACTTTTCTTCCATTACCGAGCATGTAAAAATAATTGCATTTTCTTCTACTTCACTTCAACACCTTCCTTTACGTAATGTTCCACTTTGAACTTTGTAGTTCATTGTCCACTATTTTGAGTAAAACTGGTCTACTCTTCGTAATAAACTTAAAATAAACCAGATCTGTTCCTTTTTTCATCCTACTTCCGCTGTTCCTTTCTAATGTCATCGCTTTCCATACCTCTGTTCTCCAGCCCCCATTCTTTGGCTTTAACAGTTTACTCTGATAATAGCAATTCAGCAGAAATGTTGGGTGACACCTAAAAATTAATTATGTTGGGGTTAAGTTGGGAGGAGAGAAGCTTGTTGTGAAGCTGCTAATACATTCAGAAACGTGATTGTCTTGTATAAATGCTCTTGGATGATTATCACTTCAGTTACCTTCTACGATTCTAGTATCAACAGGACATTTTGAAAAATCACCAGAGAAATTAACAGCCAAAGAAACTTCATCCAAGAAAAAGGGAAGAATGGAATACAAGATATAAATAGGAATAAATTAAAAAAAACAACAACTTGAAACCAGTGGAATTGTAACATTCAAGCCGTGCCTTTGAATCTTCTGTCCTCAGACTTATTCCAAAGTTAAAACACTAGCTTGAGGCAAAAATGGCATCATGTATCCAGGATCTATTCTTCACATTGTTCTTTACGCTGATAATGATGCCACCTGCAAAGAAACGGTCATTCCCTGAAGCTTTCAATCTGGTTTTCAGAACGTATCTATGGGGGAATTCTTATAGGCATTCTCTTTCAGGTTGTTGAAGATTTCCTTGGTGCCGTTTTGCCACTGTAGAACAAGATCCATCGGAGTTTTCCCTTCCTGCGCAAAGACAGTCAAGAAAATGGGATTAGGCTTCTTGGCATGTGATTTTTGCTATCTTTTAATTTTATTTTTCTTGATCGATTTCTTGTCGGGCAAAATGAGGGAGACCTGTCTGGTCGCATTGTTTGAATAAGCATGTTCAAGAAGATAGGGGTTTCGCACTTCTAGAATTCATGCAGGGGTGAAATCCAGCAGGTTCTGACAGGTTCTGGAGAATTGGTAGTGGAAATTTTGAGCAGTTCGGAGAACCGGCAAATACCACCTCTGGCTGGCCCCAGAGTGGGGTGGGAATGGAGATTTTGCAATACCCTTCCCCTGCCACGCCCACCAAGCCACACCATGCCCACCAAGCAACACTCACAGAACCGGTAGTAAAAAAAATTGGATTTTACCACTGAATTCATGCTAATGTGGAATTCAATCTGAACAATGAATGTGCTTCCAACATATATAGTAGTATGTGTTGTAGCCTTGCCATAAATTCTTATTCCATCTATTACTTGTACTTCACCCAAAATCCACAATAAATGTAGTATCTTTATTACAGGAAACCAAAATACCACAAAAGAGTATCTTCTGTTCCAGATGGCCAACCCAGATCCTACCAGTGGTATCCAACAGAAAATCTGTAATTGTTTTCTCATAAAACTGCCTACTTAATCATTTTTTAAAACTATTTTGTTCAGTGGCCTATATTTGCCCCATAGAGCCAGCACCACTTGCATAAATGCTCAAATTTGGAAAGACAGTGAGGCACTGAAATACGGAAGAACATCAAATAGGGACAAAAAGTGACTTCCTTTACTCATTTTATTTTACCCTGGCTCTGTTTGAAGTCCAAAAAATAATATAACCCAATCAATTCTATCAACGCATATCCAAAAAGTGGCATCATCAACAAAGGTATATAAGAAACTATTTCAATTAGTTGTAGGATCAATTTCTATAAGATGTTCTTAGGTTTATAAATGAGTTTAAAGATCCAAAGTTCCACTTTGGGTTGTATATTCTGTATAAAATCTGTAGCCCTAACAAAAGCGACATTAATTTCACAGCTGCAGTGTGAAACTATGGCCAGAAAGGTCGTAAAATGGGGTAAAACTCACTTAACAACTGTCACACTTAGCCACAGAAATCTTGGGCTCAATTGTGGTTGTAGGTTGAAGATTACGCATTGAATTCCATCTTTAAAATAGCCTGTATTAAGTTCTGTCTTTCCTGAATATAACATTAGAATCAGTTGAACAAAAAAAATCAACCGAAAAATATATTTCAAAACAGTAAGAAGATGTTTTTTTGGGGGGTGGGGAGAAGCCTTGTAATGCATTTTGCAGTTTGTTAGTAATGAGTATGATCTGACATGTAATTTGCAATTTGTGGGCTTGATCCATCATATTTAAAATAGACACAGTAAAATCCATGAGACTAAACTGAATCACAGTTACTATAAATAACATTGATTTCAATGCATCTACATTGTCTGATTTCAACTCAGCGCTTCTACGTGACTTCAGTTTCACAACAGTGGGGGAGGGGGAACACTGCAAATGGAGTAACTTACAATGTTCTTTACGTTCAGGTTAGCCCCATAGAGAATCAGGAGTCGAATCATTTTATATCGATTTAATCTCACTGCATCGTGCATGGGAGCATCCCCTTCCTAGGAGAAGGAAGGAAAATTGAATATGACAGTCTTGGAGGCTGGTTGTGCACAATATTGACAATGCTCAACAAAGGATATCAACATGTTGCAACCAAAAGCTGTAATCTAATGTAAGTGAAGAGAAGGACCAGGGGTGACATGATAGCAGTGTTCCAATATTTGAGGGGCTGTCACAGAGAAGAGAGGGACACCCTGTTTTCCAAAGCACTTGAAGGCCAGACAAGGAACAATGGATGGAAACTGATTAAGGAGGGATTTAACCTACAACTAAGGAGAAATTTTCTCACAGTGAGAGCAATAAACCAGTGGAACAGAAGTTCTGGAATTCCTATAGGGAGGAAACAAGTATGCAAATGTAAATATGCCCTCACTTAGCCTGTATGCCAAATGCTCTGTGTAAACTAATATTAGCTTCATAAATTATGAGTTATTCACTAATGGCATGTAATCTAGACAAAGAGCTAAGGGAATATTTTCTAAATCTAAAAAACAAGTTTAGATTTAGAAATAAGCTTAGTTCCTGTACTATTATGGGTGTGCTACCACTTTCGGGGGGGATATGGGTTTGGGTCAGGCTGCAGACCGAGATATGGGTGAACATCTTCACTTTCAGACATTTAGTTCCTTATTCAACAGATTTAGTGGCATGATAGTAGGTCTATTGCCTTACAATCACAATGACTTACAATTGCAATTCTGGCCTCAGTTATAGTTGTAAATTTACCTGTATGGCCTCGGCATAAAATATAGAAAGTGGTTATGTCTGGTTGATGGTCATGTATTCATGGGACACTATTCAGTAGTACGAGAAGCCTCTCTTCCTCTATATTTGAATCATTTTGGTCCACTTTTACAAGCACAAAAAGCCACCATTACACCAGGTCCTTCTTGTTCAATATTGCCTTCTAACACCACTTACTCTATCCGTTACCAAGGAAGGAGATGATATACTTACTCTGTCTTTGGCATTCAGATCCGCTTCACATGCAATAAGATGTTCTCCACATTCATACTGGCCTGTCCTTACTGCCACATGCAAAGGACTGCTGAGCAACTAAAGGAAAGGAAAAAGTGGAAAAAAGCATCATCCATAACTGTAGACAATAAATTTGGATGGAGAAAAGAATTTCATACAAGCAGGTTCCAGATTCACATCTTCCTTAAAGCAAATTTTGGGGACAATTATCATAAAATACCTTGTCTTTGGCATTTCTGTTTATCCCTTTGTTTAAGAGGAATTTCAGAACTTCTACGTTTCCACCTCGACACGTCCAATGAATAGCCGTTGATTCAAGCTACATCAGAAGAAGCAAAACAAAAGACCAGGAGATTACAATAAAGTAGGAATAATTAAATTATAGACCTATTTTAAAAGTGTTCAGGCTCTTGGCTGGTCATCCTTTCGATTGGCAAAAACTTTTCAGGTTCCTGGATTCAGAGATTAACTAAAGCTGGAAGATCTTTCAATAAAAGATCCAGATTTTTCTGGATACAAGCCAATAAGTTAAGACAAAGGAGATGATCTAAGATCATGGTGGCTCCTGAATATAAACAGTAATTCCTAGTGACCAAGACTTGATTAAGTTGTATTCATTTAGGAACATAAGCAGAGCTTTATTCTGGGTTATTATTTTCTGTTTTGACCAGTAGCTACAGGTAGTCCTCAATTTATGACCACAACTGAGCCCAAAGTTTATGTTGCTAAGTGAGAAATTTGTGAAGTGTTAAATTTTGCCCTGTTTTTACAACTTTTCTCGCCACATTTGTTAAGTGAATCACTGCCATTGTTAAATTAGTAACCCCATTAACAACTTAAAGTTGTTAAGTGAATCTGGATTCCCCATTGACTTGTCAGAAAGTTGCAAAAGGTGATCACATGACCCCAGGATATGTTGTTAAGGCGAGTCAGTTGTCAAGCATCCAAATGTAAATCATGTGACCATAGGGATGGTGCAACAGTCATAAGTGTGAAAAATGGTTATAAGTGCCTTCAAACTGTCACTAAGCGAACTGTTATAAGTCGAGGACTACCTGTATTAGTTCCTAGTGTCAAAAACAAATGCCTTTCTCCGTCTAGTTTTTTTTTTTTTTTTAATTTGTATACCACCCTTCTCCCTGAGGACTCAGGGCGGTGAACAGCCAAGTAAAAACATAAACTACAAACATTAAAATACAATTAAAAAGATATATATAAATTTGGCCCCATGATTAAAAACAATAACAGACAATTAAAAACATTTTAAAAAGTGTTAGGCCAGCCTGGCTTGCTGGAAAAAGAAGGTTTTAAGGGCACGGCGGAAGGCACCGAGGTCTTGGATTCTCTAAGTTCTCTATTTAAAACATACATTTTATTATTAAGCTGCAGTCCCTCTTTGGTGCTCTCTGGATATGTTCAACTCCTCTTGGACTAATTTAATCACATAGGCAGTAGGTCAGAAAGCCCTACCACTTGACCAGAAGAACATAACTTGGCATGGAGTCAGAGAGAGTCATGTGTGTATCATTGCAGCAGAAGCATACCCTTAGAAGGCAATTTATCATGAAGTCCCTTTTATGAATTGTACAGTGCAGTAAACAACAGTCTCCTTAAGCAATTACATCTGACCAGAGGCATGCATTGCTAACATGAATAACAGAGGGTGGACCCTTATCTGCTGGCCCCACTCCAAACAACTCACACCCCTATTATCCTGCTCTGTTCTTCATGTCAACTGGAAAGGAGGGCTTGTTGTCTACAAAAGTTTGCTTGATGTGATTGAGAATGTGAATGAAGCAGATTCCTGATGTGGCTTCATTCATAGTCAAGTTAATTTTAAAGACACCTCCACCACCACCACCGTATGGGACAAGGAAACCTGGCAGGTATATGAGATGACATGTTCGTTCTGTCTCTTTCCTTGTGTTAGCATACTCCTATTAAAAATAATAATGGACAGGCAAATGGGCCCCATTTCTTTCTCACAATTCTTTCAGGTGCTTTGCATGTTTGTGACAATCAGTCTGAAGAACAGTATAAGTGCGCACAGTTTTTGCTTACCATATCTTGGTATTCAAGATGAGCCCCAGCTGCTACTAACTTTTCCACAATTTCCAGATGTCCTTGTGAGCACGCCCTGTGCAAGGCTGTACGCTTGTACTGTCAGTGGGAAGACAGATAGCACAATCAATAATAAACAATTGCCTTTTTAAAAAAATTTAAAGCATTATTTCTCCCTCTCTCTTTCTCCTGGTGATTTTCTAATCTATAGCCTTCAGATTTCCTGGTGGTCATATAAGTACTAGCAGAGGTGACACTGTCTAGCTTTTTTGATGAGCCTGATATTAACTAAGTATTGCCATCTAGATTGTAGGTGTATATGTATGACATCAGCCAGAGCATAGAATGATGCTCTCAAAGAAGAAGTGCAACATTGGAAGATGTGGAGAGATTTGGCCCATATGATCATCAAGAAGGGGAGGGGAGGGAAGGAGGGAGAGAGAGAGAGAGAGATGAGGGGAAAATATTAAGTATTAGATGTAACTGTCTACGGAGACAGTTGCTAAGGTGCTTTTTCAAGAGGCAGGTGGACTTCCTTTGTTTTTCCTTGAAGATGTTTCGCTTCTCATCCAAGAAGCTTCTTCAGTTGTGACTGAACGTTGGGGAATGGAAGGATTTGCAGTCATCTGGTTGTTAGCACTCTTTTTGAGAGACCTTGAGTCCACTTGAAGGTTTATCTGGGCCCTCAGGGTCACCTGAATAGTGCAAATGGGTGTGGAACTTCTTGGAACTGCTGAACTGCTACTGGATGTGACGCTTAAGTCAGACTTTTGTTCTTCCACAGTGTTGGTAGAAGAAAGACTGGATTACACTCTAAGAAAATGACACTCTAAAACTATTTTGAAAGTTGTTGCCTCCCCTCCCAGAAAAACCTGGAAACTGGAGGTAGAATGGTTAGGATGTTTCAAAGGCAACTATTCATTGAGCTACAGCTTCTAGTATCCTTTGGGGGAAACTGTTCAATTAGGATCAAACAAATAATACAGAAATCAGTCAAAGCCAATGTACCTCATCACAAGCATCTGGGTCTCCTTTGTCTGCTAAATACTTTTCAATCACTGGCATTTTGTTCTCCAAGGCAGCTTTTAAAAACGTGGGAACATCTACAGGTCCTGTCTGATATAGAATAGAAAGAGCTCATCATTATTGGGAGATACCACTAAATGCAGAATAGAAGAAATTAAAATTCTTTGTCGCTTGAACGTACTATCACTTCTTGCTCAGGTTCCTTCTCAACTGGGACTTTGACCTTCTTTACTTTTTTCCTTTTCTTCAGAGTGATGATTTTTTCAAGGTCTTCCAAATTGTCAAGTTTTGTTCTCGCCTCTAGTTTCTTTTTCTTGAGCTGGGCAAAAGGAATGAACAATACAGTAAGATGGTTTGTATATGACTGTCCCGAAATAAATATTGTATTATTAACATGTGACTCTCTCTCAAGGAATCTCAAGCATTACCAACCATGGTAATAAAAAGAGTGATGGCGATAAAAAGAGGAAAATCTTCATCCCCAGATCTGTAGCTTTTTACTGTGCCTGTCTCTCCTCCACCTCACTGATGCTTCAGGGCAATTAAGTCTCATAGTGTTCAATGAGCACATTTCTCTAAAGGAATCCCATGATTGCATCAGTTTTAATTGTGTCTTGACAGGTGAAATTACTGGGGTTTTTATTTGTTTCTTAAGATCAGTAGTCATATCCTTAGGTGTCCAGCTGATGTGCAGGAGTGCAGAAGCCTGGCACTCTGACAAATCAGCCATCAATGGACACATAGACATTAACAACATCTACAGACTATGCAAAAGAGAAAATCAATCAGCCTAAACCACCAACAACAACAAAAAGACTCCAGCACCTCTCCACCAGTGATCAGCAACCAGATCAGCATAGATTAACTCCAAGGTTAATATCAGACCAACAATCAAGTAAACAATCCCCCAATCAAGAAACTGCCCAAGAGCCATCAGTAAACAGCCCAATGAAAGGATCTCTAAGACCTCCACCCACACAGACAGGCAAGTCAACTGACAGCAAACAGCACTCTTTACTAGCACTGATGATGTTACCTAATTAGATTAATGAAAGGTTTGCAAGAAAACAAGCAAGCTCAGAGAGCACCAAGGACCCACTCAGTGCTGATTTTAAAAGTTATGTTATTAGGAGGCGTGCAGAAAAAATAGCCTTGAGAAGTAGAAAACAGCTATGGATTTTGTTTCTGCAATTCCCTTTCTTCCTGAGAGCTCGGTAAAGAAAATATTGGACAAAAGGCATTGTACAATAGTTATATTTGTACATCTGTACCGCAAATCATTATGCCACTAAATACATTAGAAGGTTGAATACTTGATTGCATGGGTAAACTCGCTGTAATAAAAAGTTGTGATAAGAGTAGCTTTTTGAGGGAATCTAAAAGGAGAGTCGAGAGTCAGTTTGATTTATTGGTTAAAGGTGTTAGACTATGAAGTGAGAGAGACTCGTGTGGACTAATCCTGCCTTAGGCACAAAGCCAGCTGAGTGACTTTGGGCAGTCCTTCTCTCTCAGCCATAAGAAGAAAGCAATTCCGAAAATGCTGCTGAGAAAATTGCGTGGACTTGTCCATGTAGTCATGAGGAATCACGACTGGTTTGAAGGAGAGGAGAGAGAGGGAGTCAGAGAGAGAGAGAGAGAGAATGAGAGAGACAGAGAGAGACAGGGAGAGAGAGAGAGGGAGAGAGAGAGAGACAGAGAGAGACAGGGAGAGAGAGAGAGAGTGAGTCAGAGGGAGACAGAGACAGAGACAGAGAGAGACAGAGAGAGAATGAGAGAGACAGAGAGAGACAGGGAGAGAGGGGGGAGAGAGAGAGGGAGAAAGAGACAGAGATAGAGAGAGGAAGAGGGACAGATTGTAGTAAAGATGCATTTTTAAATTAGTTGATCGAGAATCACTTCCAAAAGAAAAGATGCAAAGGGGTTGTTGGTGCAATAACTATTATACATTATGGAATAGGTTGTCACTTGATGTCGCACTCATTAACACCTCGTGAAAAGTCACTTGAGCTGCTACCCTGTACGAAAGATGTGTCAGCGTGTATTTAAAGCAGAGGCAACATATTCCTAAATGGTTTTCAAGTAACTCATAAATGCATCATGTAACAGATTGTTGTTGCTTACTTATCTAAAGATCTTACCTTTGAAGGACTAAGCAGGAGAATTTCAGGAGCCTGTTCTAGCAAATGTCTAGCTCATTTGGCTGAATCAATACATTTCTCAATTTGTTCTGCTGTCACTATGGTATTAATATGTAATGTAACACATTACATATTATGTCCTTCATGGCACAAGGCCTGGTTGCATGCAAGGGTGACCTGTTTCTGAAAAAAAATTGCCTATTTGAGAAAATCTGCTGTGGGTCTTCTCACCTAAGGAGTATCATCTAGCCAGAATGGGACAACTCACCACAGCCAAATTGTTGCAGCCAATTCACCACCGTCATCTCAACGCGGGACAACTCGCCATGGCCAACTCACAGCGGGACAACTTGCCAAGGGACAATTTAACAATCTAATTTAATTATTTAAAATAAATGAACATTATTTTAATTTTTGCCATTCACATTTCGTTTTACATCCTTTCTTTAATGGTCCTATTCCACCATTTCTTTGATATTAGTGTAACTCTTGTCCTGCAGCGAGTTGGGCATGGCGAGTTGTCTCATAGCAAGTTGGCTGCTTTGAGTTTTCTAATCTGATATTCCTTTTTACAGGTAAATAGATGAGAAAGCAAATAACCTGCCACCACCTATAGCATCTGAGAAACTCGTTTGAATGATACTCATAGGAACCAGTATCATGTAGTTTCTGTGGTCAATCTTGTCTATTGCTCCATGAGTCGTCGACATTGTCCAGATTTTCAAAATAAAATTTCCCCAACTTTGTTCCCCAGCTAGAATTTCCTTGAAAGTGAAATTGTGTTATATCATGAATGCAAAGATTAAGCACTCCCCAAGGATTCTTAATAGCTCATCCTTTTAATTTGTTTCAAATCTCAACTTCCTGGTTTTCTCATTATAATTAAGTTTTGACTGAACATCTTTTTCCTGATCCTCAGCATAGTCCTACCAGATTATGTAGGCTTGTTCTAATGTGACCGTAGTAGAGAACAACAGTAAATCAAAACATTGGCGATATATTCCCAGAAGATACATAAAAACTCATTATTTTACCTCAGCTTGCAGCTCCTTCTCTTCTTTGTAAGTCAGAGTGCGCTGTGTTACTGAGGGATCAATGACCGTCTTCAGGTCTTCTTGCTTCTCTAATCTCACTGTAGCTTCATATTCTCCATCTTTGAAGTCTTCCGGAAGGAAATCCCCTGTTTCTCTACCTTCTGTCTTCTTGCCTGTCATCTGTCAAAGAAAACATGTGTTTTAAGATTAGAGTTCCAAAAGGTTGTCCCTGACAAACCAAGACATGGAGGAAATTTATAAAAAAACAGATTGTACAACCACCGAAAGAACTTGTTGACAAAAAAAAAAAAAAGTGAAATTGATGTCCCAAGATCATCATGACAGGCACAGCTTTGAGGAAATGGTGAGTGAACTGATAAGGAACCATGAGCTGTACAGTATTGCTGAGGGCAACAGTATGTTTGCAATTAAATAACTGTGGAAAAAATAAACCATCGGGATATTCAGAAGCAAGGAGGCTGAAAACAAAGGGAGCAATAGAGGCAATATCCCAAAGGTGCTTTTTTCAATAGGCAACTGGACTTTCTGGTTTTTCTTTGAAGACGTTTCACTTCTCATCCAAGAAGCTTCTTCAGCTCTGACTGGCTGGTGGGAAGCTGAAGAAGCTTCTTGGATGAGAAGCAAAACATCTTCAAAGACAAACCAGAAAATCCAGTTGTCTCTTGAAAAAAGCATCTTTGGGGCAACCATGACTTAGATGACTGAGAACCTCCATAGACAGTAGAGGCAATACGTTGCAAAAGAAAAACCTGAAGGAAAAGTAGATGATATTGAGGCTTGGAAAGAGCCAGAATGAAAAAAAAAAAAAAAAAAAAGCAAGAAGACTATCATTATTCCTTAAGAATAGTGTGCTCAATTTTCTTGGGAAGAAGGACAAAATAGCACTAGAAGGATAGTTATCAAGAGACTAAGTGGTTTGAGAAAAATAGTTAAGTTTTGCAGCAGTCTGAGAAAAAAAGGCAACGGATATAGCGAAATAGAAAAGCCTAGAAGAAAACTACCCTACGGTTCTCCCTCACCCACAAAGGGAAGGGCTGGAGATACGACAGTAGACTGACTAAGGAAACTGTAGACTGAGTGCTACTGTGGACCGTGAATGTATTGGGTTGCAATATCTGACACTCACATTAGGATGTTTGCCATTGTAGCAGCAGTATGACCTGCGACAATGAAAGCCCAGAAGTGCTGAAGGATATCAGGAAAGATTTTTATATATTAATGGGAATTAGCCATACAATTGCTTAGCTGTGAGCAGCTGGTTATTAGCTAATACCTGCAGTGGCTAAGTTAGTAACCTGGTTGTTAAGTGAATCCGGCTTCCCTATTGACTGTTTTTGGAAGAAGGTTGCAAAAGGCAATCACATGACTCCAGGACACTGCAGCCATCATAAATATGAGCCAGTTGGCAAGAGTCTGAATTTTGATCACATGACCATGGGGATGCTGCAATGGTTGTAAGTGTGAAAAACTGCCATAAGTCACTTCAGATGGTCACTAAAGGAACTGTTGTAAGTCAGGGACTACCTGTATTGTAAGATTAAAAGGTAAAGGTAACGGTTCCCCTCACACATATGTACTAGTCATTCCCAACTCTAGGGGGCGGTGCTCATCTCTGTTTCAAAGCTGAGGAGCCAGAGCAGTCTGAAGACGTCTCCGTGGTCATGTGGCCAGCATAACTAAATGCCAAAGGTGCATGGAACGCTGTTACCTTCCCACCAGAGGTGGTCCCTATTTTTCTACTTGCATTTTTTACATACTTTTGAACTGCTAGGTTGGCAGAAGCTAGGACAAGTAACGGGAGCTCACCCTGTTACGCGGCATGAGGGATTCGAACCGCTGAACTGCCGACCTTTCGATCGACAAGCTCAGTGTCTTAGCCACTGAGCCACCGCATCCCTAAGATTGTAAGATTAGTTTTTTACTAATATTCACTAGTATGTGTGAATAAGATCATAAGTCACTTTTTTCAGTGCTGTTGTAACTTCGAACAATCACTGAACGAACTGTTGTAACTTGAGGACTACCTGTAGTTGCCCGCAACCAAGCAATTGTTGCTCTAATGATCTGATTACTAGCCACTTCTAACTAAGCACTGGCCTCAGAATGAACAGACGGAAAAGGGAATGAGCTTGAATTAGATTTGACGTGTAGCAGGATGGCAATACATTGAAAGATTTGGATGCTAATGAGCTCAGATACAGAATATCTTACAGTGAAGGATGTGTGCCCTTAATACATTCAATTAAATTTAAAATCAAGTCTGCAACAGTTTGCAGTGTGCAAGCAGCTAAAGTTAGAGATTGCTACATCTCACTGAAATCACCGAAACAACTCAGTGTGACTTCTATAAATCTCAATGCTTCCAGTGGGTTTTAGTCACGACTATGTTTAGCTGGATGAAGAGAAATGGTGGAGAATCCACCCAAGAATGCAATGGGGCATATTTTTTGGTTTTTTGTTTTTAAATATCCTACTCCCTTGTTCCTCCCAACTCTCTATAGACCGACAGACTCCTATGCCATCTGTTTTTGAAATCCTTTCTGGCTTAGAAGAAGCTTAGAGAGACTTGGGGTCCTGCTACTGAGAAATAGAAAAATCTCCTGGGTTACCCAAAATTTACCACGTTGATCCTGAGTTTGTTCACACCAGCTTTGTTTGCGAGTTGCTAACAAACTATGTATACATTGAAAGTACAGAAATCCACATTTTATGAAAGAGATTTCATAAAATAAAATCTCTTTCTGATCAAACCACAGTAGTCCATGAAAAAGACCCACTAACGGTCCATCTAATTAAATTCAGTAATAATACACACAGGAAATTATACAGGGCTTACCCATATACTTTTACTTTTTATTTTCTAGACCTAATAAACAACAATCCAGATTGTCATACCTATATTCAATGACAAATTAAGCTCAGAGGGGTGGAATAGGTAAAGGGTTTGCTTATTTGCCAGTACAAAAATGTTGTGCTATTATTACAGCTAAAGTGTTTGAGATAAGCAACTATTTCAGAATCACTTCTATTTTCTTTCCATTCCTTCACTGTCATTTGCTGCCATTAATAACCCAGTCATAAACAGCAGAGGTGACTAGAGGCCTATTAAAGCTGGGTCATTTAAGTTCTGTTTTAATTCTTCATTATGTTGTCTGGAATGGGAGTTGGAGCCAGACTTGTGTGCCTGGCATAGTATAAGCGTAGTTGAGAATACTTTGAATCACTAGGGATGTTTTAATAGCTGAACCCATCACACTCCTACTGTTTTTGTTGTATTTTCGTGTGAACTATCCCGAAAGTCTCAATATGGCAAAAGATGGCATATAATAAATATCCTCTTTTGAAAATTTTGTTGACACTTAAATAAGACCAAGCTTTTTTTAAAATTAATTTGCAAGCTAAACAACAGTACAATGTATTGCTACATAAACTACTGTTATTAAATGTATAACATGTATTTATATGAAAGATAAATAACAACTTCAGCAATAAATAACCCATTCCTATTCATTCATCTTCATAATAAACTTTAAACATAGGAGAATATTATTATTGTCACAAAAGTTGCTAGCGATAAAAACTATGGGACATATGTGAATCAAAATTCAAATAGTAGATTTTCTCTCTTTGTTCTGTTTGCTTAAAAGGACCACACCCATTCCCCAATGACATTTTAATTACAATATAATTTTCCCTTAGGTACCACCTTCAATCAAAAGAAACAATTTGGTCTTAGAGATAACCATTCCTTTGATTGATGATGGTCAACCCACATGCTATTGAACTGGAAGTGATGACCACCTTTTAAAAAAATTATCACACAAGGTAGTTTGATACTTACCAGATCTTCTACCAGTAACATCATCATCCTGGCTGTTTGGCTGATCAAAAGCTGATGGTACAGTGGAGTATTCCTCTCAAGAAAGATGCCTTTACTGTCCAAGGCAACTTGACTGAGACATGCCAAGCTCTGTTAGTTTATATATCTTTGCAAAAACTTCTTCTGCGTGAGATAATCTTCCAACCTGGGAATCCAAACAGTTCAGCAATAGGTGTTTTCACATTCCAGGCATATTAACTAGCCAGATCTAGTGTCAAGGATAGGAATTGGAGGGGGGTGGGTGGGTTGAGGGAGGGTGAGGGGAAGAGGAAAAGTCCTGCGTTGTAACGGCACCAAATATCTGAATTAGTATGAAATACAAGAGCTTCATTCCATTGGCAGTGACTACATAGCTCAGCAATGCAAACCATGCTGGCTGCCCGGTGTCCATTAAGACAGCTGTCTGCAGATACCACCCTTATCATAACTGGCTCCCACATGAGCAACAGACACCCGGAGGGGGGGACAAAAGACAAGGTAGCCCTCGTTTTGTGGATAAACAAAGAAGTAGGTCAACTGATGGAAAAATAATTATTTTGGTGATACTATGTCCTAGGATTTATAAATAGTTCCGTAGGGAAATATATTCTTCCCCTTGCCCTCATCCCCCCGGTCTCTCTCATACACACACACACACTTATCATGATGTCACTTGTCTATATTTGTCAAGAAGAATTTTCTGAGGGGATTATGAAGCCAGAGTGATGTCTCTGGTGCTAAAAGGACTGGGTGACATGTTAAGTTACCATCAAGATAAGAACGCAAAACTCGCCTGCTTTTCATTTTCTCTGGAATCTGTCACTGCTTATAAACAGGGATTATGAGCTCTGTTTTCAAGGGTCAGGAAGGTGAAACTGCAATTTAGTGTAGGTAAAGACTTCCAATGAAATTGGAAAAGACAATAATTTTTTTTTTTAAAAAAATCTAACTCTTGTCCAAGGTATACCTTTTAATGAGGAATTTATGGTGGGCATTGGAATGTTGGCCCTAAGGAAATATAAAAGATGCAGCAAATCGATAATATCCTGATCTGATTAATCAGTCCTCGCTAAAAGCCATTTCAAAAGTTCGTGTATTGGATTCTGAAACCATATTCCATCTCCACGTGCCCTAGGCAATGTGCAGCTTTAAAAAAAAAAAAAACTCCTATCTTTAAAAGAAAATCAAAGTATAAAATACAGATCTAGTAAGCTACAATAAAGAGAAAGAAATATCCTATTAAAATCAATAGCCATATTAGCAGCAGTAATTTCAAATGAGTATCCTCTGTATTCAGATCCAACTTTACTGCACTACTATGTAACATTGCAATATAAAATATTCTTCGGATAGCCATTTCCTTGCCAGACGTACTCTCGGGAGGAAATAAATTGAAATTGGGAGAGAGGCAGAAGATGTGCTTAAAGGAGGAGCAAAGTCAAGGGCAAAAGGAGGAAATGGCATTTTATCCTTCAGAAAAATACTGGAGGACATTCCGTGGCAGAGAAACAGATGCTGGGCTAATATTACACAGGGCTAGTTAGAACATGGACATGGCCTTAACAGAACTTGATTATTTTATTCAAAGAGACTATATCTAAGTATGTTTTTCATTTGGATATCACTTCCGGATTTTGTGCTTGTGATGAAAAAAAAATGAAACTTTGACTTTGGTTTTGTCGATTAGATAGATTTGTCATTATAGAAATGGCTAGTTACGTATTAATGTGTAAAAGCGAAAAGTTGAGGCTAGAGAGTGTTTTTAATCTTGTGCTGCGCTAAAAAGAGTCGGAAGTCAGCACCATTCCCCTGCCCACCTTATACCTTACATTTTCTTTTCTCCTTTCTTTTTCCTTCTCCTAATTTCCCATTTCTATTTCTCTTTGTATTTTATCTATAGATAAAATAATAAAAGCCAAAAAATTAAAATTAAATTGAAATAGGGAAGGAGTCAGTAGATGTGCTTAAAGTGCTTGCCTACAAAAAGAGAAGCAAAGTCAAAGGCCAAAGGAGGAAATGGCATTTTATCCTTCAGAAAAATATGGAGGACATTCCGTGGCAGAGAAACAAAGGTTGGGCTAATATTACATAGGGTTAGTTAGAACATGGACATGGCCTTAACAGAACTCACCAGTAGGGGTGAAATCTTTTTATGGATTTATTAATTTGCAACAGAGACACAATATCAAGAAATAATGTCGATAAGTGAATAAAGGAAATTACTAAAGCTTTACAATTAGTCCTCAATATAACATTAAAAAAAGATTAATTAAACATTAACAAGGTACAGTACACTGAGTTAGTTTATGGTATAAAAAAATTATAAAACTTTGAGCTTAGTGCCAAAATCTCCTCTAAGAAGGGGGGGGTGAGGGGGAGGGGGGGAAAGGGGAAAGGGGAGGAGGAGGGGGAAGGGGAGAGGGGGGAGAGAGGGGAGAAGGGGAAGGGGAAGGAGAAGGAGAAGGGAAAGGGGAAGGGGGGGACGGAAAGAGGGAGGGGGAGGAGGAAGAAGAAATATAAAATGTTCATGTACTTTGTGCACATAACTGTCCATTTCTCTGTGTGAAGTTGAATATTTCTTGAATAATAATCTTTTTTTTTTCATAAATATGACAGCTGCACATCATCTGCCATAAAAAAAGCAGGAAGTATGAGAGAAGCTGCTTAGGCTGGCCTTTCCTGTATTGCATTGTCTGACTGATTGATAGTTGTTCTCAGAGTTTCAGACTAAGCGTTTTCCAGGGATGAAATCTGGAATGGAATGTTTGTCAAATGTGTAGATGACATAAACTCGTTGAGATTGTTAATGCTTTAGAAGATAGAAACAAAATTCAAGAATATTTAATAAATTAAAGAAATGAGCTGAAAGTGCCTTGAATTAAAGACATACAAACAAATGCAGAGATATAGGTTAGTAATAATATTTCTGAAATCAATTTTAAATTGTAATTGATTGCAAAATTAATATATGATCAGTCACTCTTTTAGGTTGAACCAGAGGTGGGTTTCAGCAGGTTCTGACCAGTTCTGGAGAACCGTAGCGGAAATTTTGAGTAGTTTGGAGAACCGGTAGTAAAAATTCTGACTGGCCCCGCCCCCATCTATTCTCAAATCTCCCAAGTCCCAGCTGATCAGAAGAAATGGGGATTTTGCAGTAACCTTCCCCTGGAGTGGGGAGGGAATGGAGATTTTACAATATCTTCCCCTGGAGTGGGGTGGGAATGGAGATTCTATACCATCCTTCCCCTGCCACATCCACCAAGCCATGCCCACCAAGCCATGCCACGCCCACCAAGCCACACCCACAGAACCAGTAGTAAAAAAAATTAAAAGCCACCACTGGGTTGAACCAATAGAGTTAATAACACTGGTTTCCAAATCAAACAAATAATTCCACTGTATCCATAGCGCACTGGTTAAATCCCACTTCAAGTATAGTGACGGGCCCCGAACATTAGATTTAAGGGTCAGGGGAAGTAAATTTGGCCCATTAAAGGCATTGAGGATGACGGGACTGGAAACTAAAGTCCTTTGAAGTCAAAATGAAGGAGTTCAATATGTTTTGCCTTGAGAAAAGATGGCTGGGGTCAGGGAAAGAGTATTTACTTACTTATTTGACTCATATGTCTACCTATCTTATGGAAACATGGTTCAGTATCTAATGGAATGTCACATAGAAAAAGACCACAATTTGTTTCAAATAGTTTCAGAGGACAAGATATGGAATAACATATTTTGAAAGTTTGGTAATAATATGAGCAACTCGATAATAGAACCAATTTCCTAGGGAGGATCAGTGGTGAAATGCTACCGGTTCACACTGGTTCGAGCAAACCGGTAGTGATAAAAACTACCGGTTCGGGTGAACCAGTAGTAAAAAAAAGCTACCGGTATTTCCAATGATCAGCTGTGCCACGCAATTTAAAATAGCTAGAAAGCAGGAAATCCTGTTTTCTAGTGAATCTAAATTGCGTGGCACAGCTGTCCCCCCCCCCCGGTGTTCTATTTACCTTCCCAAGCCTTTTTCTGCACGCAGCGTGTGTTTGGTGCGCACTGCGCATTCACGAACAGCAAACCGGTGGCAAACCGGGGAAGATTTCACCACTGGGGAGGATAGCAGGTTTCCTCACTGGAAATGTTTAAGTAGAAGCTGGCGGTCATCTTTGGAAGATGCTTTGGATTCCTGCAATGGTCAGGGGCTGGACACAATGACTCCTTTTTGATTCTATGATTCTTATATTACTTTAGTTATTTGTGAGAAGCCAGGATAGAAATTTTAAAAAAGCAATCAATATAATCCACTTTAATTTGTTACATCTTCTAGCTGAATGTTGAATGATGTCCAAGGGATAACTAAAATTCATTGAATGACAATGAAAGTATTTATTCAAGAAAAACAACTTTCAAAACAACTGCTCAAAAGTGTCCTTCAAATATAGCCATCTTGTACTGAAATCGGTCACCTGAGGCTATTCAATGATGCCTTTCTTTCCTTACAATGCAAATGTCCTCACTCCCACCAACAAATATGTAGGTTAGTATGCTTGTGTAAATGTGTATTTGTATCCTACTAGAATGTTGGAAGCAGTGCAGAATGACCCTCGGAATTCCATTAAAATTTTATAGACTCCATAATAGTTTAAATTGATTGTATCATTGATTACTCTATTAAATAAACTTCCTGCCAAACCTTTTCAGAAATCTTTGTTAACTTGCAGTTCTCAAGACATTTTCAAAAGGCTGATTATTAAGTTCTTTGAGCTTCTGCATAAATAGCAACTGTCCGCTAATCCTTAAAACATTAAGTTCACAGAACCCATAAATACTAACCTATTCTATGTACAATCATCAGAATGAATATATTGCTGGATTTGTTTTTATAGACATTCAGCCAGGAAGGTAGATTATGGGAGTCTTTGCTTTGTTACTCTCTCTTTCGGAGAGAGGAGAGAGAGGGAGAGGACGGAGGAAAAAGGAGAGAGAGGAGAGGGGAGGGAGAGGGGGGAGAGACGGGAGGGAGAGGGGAGAAAGGAGAGAAAGAAGGGAGAGGACGGAGGAAAAAGGAGAGAGAGGAGAGAGAAGAGAGAGAAGAGAGAGGGGAAAGAGAGGGGAGAGAGAGGGAGAGAGAGGGAGAGAGAGAGGGGAGAAAGAGAGAGAGAAGCTAAGATATTTTTCAGCGAGGAGGCTGCTGCTATGAATCTCATTTTCCAAGTCCTCTTCTCCCTGATCTTTGTGTCATTATGTGCAAGAAGAA